AGGGGAAGCTAAAACCGAAGAGGAAACAGCTGTTAAGAGTGACAAATGAAGACATTTTCCGCAAACCGTATGCTATGACTAACCGAGAAGAGTCTTTATTACTGCGGAATGGTTTGCTCTTTTAAAATCTTTCCCTCTGTTTTTTTTTGCTTCTTGGATTGTTGAATTCCGGGTTTGATTCTGATATGGTTCTGATCCTCTCTTTTTTTTTTATCCGTTTGAAAATGTTGTTCTTGAACTTGCAATATTTTTGTTGGTTGTAGTGACTTTAGAGTTTGTGAGAAGCTCTTTTTATAAGTTTGTTTATCTTCATAACATATTTGTAGTGTCTCGCTACGATCGGACGCAACCAACCGTAGTTTATGACCGGAGCTTAATCGAAATTTATATATCTATAAATGCGACATATTTCTTTGTTAATTCCAAAATCATCTTAAGTGACTGCAATAATTACCAGTTCAAAGTTACAAAATCTACTGCGCAACCAATATTTGTTAGAGAACAAAATTCATGAAAATTGATCTTGCAAACCATCGAAATAATCAAATTCTGCAGATATGGACCATATGGTTTAGTAATAAACAAATTTATAGTATTAAAAAAAAAAGGGTTTATTGGTGAGTTTGTGTTGTACAGAACGACGTCGTTTAGGGGACGCTTAACAAAACCCTTTCGATGAAAACCCTTCTCCGCCGCAAACTTCACCTCTTAGCTTTCTTCTTCGTTCCCAAACCAAAAAACCTGTGAGAGAGAGATGGCGAGGTCGAGAAGGAAATACAAGGCTTCTAGGGCTAAAGTTCGTGTTGCTCTTCCTAAGAAAAACCCTAATATCTTTAAGCCAGCTTTCAACTTCCCTCCCAAGCTGCGTTCTCTCATGGCGGACGATGTCCCCGAATGGGACGATCAGGCTAGTGTCATCGAGAACTACAAATCCTTCGGTGTCGTCTCTAACCCTAATTTGCTCGGTGTCCGATCCCGCACCGACCATATGATCCAAGTTGAATCCCTCAACGTTCCTCCACCTCCGGAGCCACCGACTGATGATCCTACTGCTAAGGAGTTCGAGCCCATCGATTCCGGCAGCGAACTCGAGGAAGACGGTAAGATTTTCTCCTTTGTCTTTGATTCTATCTTAGATTCGAGCTGGAGCAATTTAGTCCTGAGGAAATTGAAATTAGGGTTTGAGATGGAACTTTTGGGGGAAACTGATTATGCCTATGAAGAATCTTAGTTCTTGAAAACAAACATCACTGTTTTTGCTTCTTAGATTATCAACTAAATGCTTGAGTATTATTGTTAATCATGAACATATATGTTGATGCCGTATTGCCATGGATGCAAACTACACAAGCTAAACTGTAACTACAAATAAGCAAGAGTCTGTTTCATTAGGTTACAGATTCTTTACTTCATTGCCAAAATGCTTTGTTTTGAGATGTGCAGATCTTAAGACAGCATTGGGGAAGCAAAGAAAAGATGGAAAGAGTGCGCCTTTACAGCCGCTTACAACTATGCAACGTAAACATATAAGTCGTTTGGTCGAGAAATATGGAGATGACATTGAGGTTAGATCTCTTAAGAGAATGATTCTACTACTATTTGTTTTTTTCCTCGTTTGTGTGATTCTCTTTCTAAACATCTATATTCGTTTGAACAGGCTATGTACCGAGACAGAAAGCTGAACTCGATGCAGCATTCCCTTGCAACACTACGGAAGCTATGCACTAGATATCAGATTTACAAAGATACGAACCCGATTTTAGTTCCAAGCTAATGATGATTATGATGAGATATTTTTCTCTCTTGTACTACTACATTTTGTTATCAACTCACAACAACACTACAATTGTTCTCAAGTTTTTGTAACTCGAAAGCCCCATTTTCATGTTTTTCTTCTCCTGGAAGCCTCTTTAGAATATGAAGAACATATGCAAACTTATTAATAGTCATATAGAAAGCTTAAGAGTTTATCATTTTTTCAAACAAATCATCACTCAAAGCAAACACACACACAGAGGAAAGCAAATCACAATTAAGATTGAGTTTTGTACCAAGTTAATGCTCAAAGCCAAATTTTTTTTGGTACGCATTCTCACTTAAAAAGCCACAAATTAAGTCTTCATATTCCTGTGAAGCTTCGGCATTGGTAATCCCAATAGTCCTTTGCTGCTTGTAACCTCTCTACTCTCTCTGTTTTACGCCTCTCTTCCCAATACTCTCGGCAGCTGTATGTATATTGCAGGAGTAAACAATTGTGATCAAGTCCTTGAAACTTGTTTATCGAAAACAAATACCCTCAAAACTTAGAAGAAAGGTTATAAAGAGTATAAGGAGATTTGGGTTTATATGCATTTACCTTCGTCTAAGTAAGATACTGAGCTCATCCAAGTGAACAGCACCTTTATAAACCCCAACCTGATATCAAGTGAGGAGAAAACCAAGGATTAAGAGCATGAAACATGGAAGATTAGTAAGTTGTAAATACCAGTTGAATATGGGTCTAACCTCACGGCAAAGCGGGCATTTTTCAGTCGGTTCTGCGGTTTTCAAGCCATCAACTACACTTACCGATGCAGCAGAGCAAGCACACATGTAGCAATATATGTGACCGCAGGTTAGAGATATCGGGTCAAACACCGTGTCCTGATTATCCCCAACAATTGTAACCCGTAAGTCGAAGACTTTTTCACAACATTTCGTTTAAGAAGATTCATATTTTGCTCAAGATTCTTTCAATCATATATCTTATGCGAAAAAAAGACTTGGTCTTTGAAATGGGATCTGCAAGAGGAGAGTGGAATAGCACTTTGACACAACATAATTAAGACTTTATCCTAATAGGCTGATACTTTCTGCTATATTTCAGATTACTACGAAGTCAACTAACAGTTTTTGAGACATTGCGATTCTTTCAAGCCATTTTAAGTTTGCTTACCAGGCATATTGAACAAGTCAAATCAATGTCAACTTTCACGGAATCAGAGAGCTCGCAGGAAAGTAAAGGCTTCCCATCATCGAACATCAAAGAGCAACCATCAAACAATGCAGGGAAAGAAGAAGGAGCAGACACAACAGCTCCTGGTTCCTTCTGTGATTCTTTCAGATTGATGTGAAACGCCATAAGCTCACAGAGCCATGGTGACTGAAGGATTTCGATTCGCATTTTCTGAACCTGTGTCTTAAACGCTTGTCCTTGCCTAGACTCATGAATCTACAGGACAAAGAAGCAAAATTGAATAAGAAAGTGTTCATAAGATCATCAGCCTTTAGATCTTATACATATATAGAATTTAGATTTATAAACCTTATCGTATTTCTTGAGGATTTTTCGAATGGCGATTGCATTGATGAGAGCGTAATTAACCAAATCTTTGCCTTCTTGAATCAAACCAAGATGGTTCCTTTGTCTGTTATTGCCTTTGAACCAAGTAAGACACTTTTTGAAACCAGAAGCTAAATGTAACTCAAGAAGCTTCTGAGCATTCTCGTTAAACCATCCTACCACATCTTCCATTTCCTTTAGAAGCTCCGGGAAAAAAGTTCCATCACAAACTGCAAAAGTAATCGATTCTCAAACCCAAAACGAGAAGAAGAAGAGAAAAAAAAGAGAGATTTATAAATCAGGGGAATTATGTCGAACAGTACCTGGGCATTCACGAGGACAATTGTTGTTGTTGTCATGTTGATGATTGATTGCTTCATTAAAAGCCATCCGAGAAGAAGAAACATGATCTCTTCTGCATTTCTTGAGGATTTTCTTGAGTTTCTTAAACCCAACACCAGGTAGATTCTTCTTCTCCTTTTGTCCTTGCATGTACTCTTCATACTTCTTACAGAACTTCATTTTCTCACACAATTTTCTCAAACGGAAATACAAAAAGGTTGTAACTTTAGATGACCATCAACAAATTCAGACCTCAAAAAACAGGATTTGATCAAGAAAACTCGATGGGT